TTTGCTACAAATAAATAAATATAATCATATGAAATTAAAAATGCATACATATTGTACTTAATATATGTTCAACAAAAACAAATTACAAACTTAAAACAAAATCAAATAGAAATTAATCCATTTACACCAAAATCAAAACCAAATTATAAACTTACAAATTATTTATAAACTAAATTTTTTGATAGTCCACAAAACAAGTTTAAATACAATTAATTAACTTTAAATTTTTATTTTAAGAATATTAGAAGCTCTCTTGAAAGAAGTTATCTCTACTTTTTTTCCTAATCATCTTCATCCTCATCTTCTACATCAAAATAAAATAAACATAAAAATAATTAAATTAAAGAAAAAAATATGCGGGCCGGCGGGTTGTGGCGACCCGGCCCGCTATTTGACCCGGCAAGTTAACGGGCTTGGTTGGACGGACTTGGCGGATTGAAATGATTGGCCCGGCCCGCCAATTTTTGGCGGGCCAACGGGCCAGCCCGCGGGCCATGACCCACTTTGCCATCCCTACTTGTTAGTTCATTGGACCATTGGTTACCCTTTTTTTTATTAAATTCTACTAAGTAATCAAGAAATTTTTAATAATTAAGAGATAAAGACTAAATAAAATTATAATTTTTTACAAACTTTTGTTCAAATGATTAAACTTGTCTTAAGAATAAAAATATAATTCTGAAAAGTTCTTTTTGATAAACAAAAATATACTTCTAAAAAGAAATTTCTTATTATCCTGAAAGTATATTAATTTTAAAAATTAGAAAGCGTAATTTTATAATAATAATAATAAATATATTGTTTCTAATTAAAAGTTCTTCGTATAATTAATGGACCATTCTTTTAAAAATGAGTCTTCATAAAATTTACACATCATATTTAATGTATACAATATTGAAGATAAAGTGAAAAATTATAATTTAAAAATTATTGAAATTAATAGTACAATAGTATAAGGTTTGACAAATAATAAATATGAGCCAATGCATGTCTTGATTTTTGGAGAGAAAAAAAATAAGAAATGAAAAATAAAAATGAAGAAGGAAGATGTATAAAAAGTGATCGAAGAGAGATAAAATAATGGAAGAAAATGACATGATGAAGAAAATAATTTTTGAAAATAAAAAGAAGTTTTAGAAGAAAAAAAATTAAGAGAGTATTTAAAGAAATTTGGACAAAAACTTAAGAAGGAAACATAACTATTAGAAAGGGAAAATGATATGCATTTGTCATAATTAAAAAAATCGAATTAAATCTAGATTTTTTAAAACTAATTCATTATAATCTGTGATCCACATCAAGTGGCTCACAATGAACACAGATAATAAAAATAAGATGGATTTGACAATGTAATTTTTTTTTTGGTTTAAATATATTTTTTTAACAAATTTAAATATATTATTAGTGTTTGTAAAATATCGCAAGTATTTAATTTTGATTCTATAATTTTTTTTTATCTTTCTAAAATTTAAAATTATATATTTTTTTTCTTACCATTGTTTGATTTTTTTAAATTATTTATAAGTTTATTAGAAAATCAAGTGATCATTTCATGTGATATTTACAATTCTCTATGATACTTGGTTAACCTATAATATCTCTAAAAGATTTTAAAACCTTTAAAATAATAATAATTTATTCAAATTAAAATGATTATTAGATATAAAAAAATAATTTTAGATTTTAAAGGATAAAACTAGAAAGAATAATATATAGACCAAAACCTTTTTCCTTTTATTTTATAAAAATAAAAAAATAAATTTATTTTATTTTACTTTATTCCATCTCTATTTATCTATCCAAACATAGACTTGAGTCCAAGTAATGTCCTCCTCTTCGTGTAAGAAAATGATATGCAAGTGAAGAACTTGGTTCATGATCTTGGGGGCTTGGGGCAATGACTCAGAATTCTGTACGGCTGATGAAGATGAGACTGTAGCTGGGAGCATTGGGAACTTCAATTCTCGAGACCTTCTTGATGGTTTATGGATTATGAGGTGAGGGAAACACCTTTCCTCCTCGCAAACCTCTTCCTCCACCTATTAAATAGGCAAGAGTGATACAAAATCCTATTTAAATTATTGTTTGTAATCAGTAATTATCTGGATAAAGGTTCTCCCAGTCATACTGTAAATATATTTTCTGATTTAATCAAATAACACTTTCCTTCTATGTTGATTTCTTTCTGAGATCATGTCGATTTTCTAACTCATCAATCAAATATTTGAACTTTTGAGCAAATTGCATGTCAATGTATCAATAAATTCTATTAGTGAAACGAGTATCTGTGACTAAAATATGAGGATTCAGTCAGAAAGCAGAAAATGGCAGCTGTCATGACAAAAAAATCAAGAGGGAATTTGCTTTCAGTTCTAGGAGATACGTACGTATGACAAAAAATACCCTCTCTACGTGACAGGTAAATTGAAGAAATCTCACATCTGAATCCCTTCTTGTCTAAATACTCTTCACTATCACTGTTTCTTTTCCTATCAACTCCATTACAATATATCTCGTGCAGTAGAGGTGTTTATAAAATTATTTTAAAAATTAAACTAAACTAAATTATAAAAAATTTGATGTATTTTTTTTATTATAAAAATTAAACTAAACTATATTTTAAGTTCAGTTTAAAAAACTTGTTATAAAAACGTTTGCATAATTATTATATTCAACATGCACAAGTAATGATTTTTATTATTAATAGTACTATATATTTAAATTTTTTTAAATGTTGTTATCTAATTATACACACTACCAAAAATATTAAATATAGTGACATATAAAAAATATTATTATAAGTATAATATATGTAAATATATATTTATTTAATATATAATTATATAAAATTTTAATATTAATTTTTAATGAGATTGAACAACATATTTTGTGTGTTACTATATTAAAAAATATATGTAACAACATATTTTTGAGGTCAAGTGTTTTTCTTCTTAAATATTTAATATAATAACATATTTATATGTAATTCAAGCTTGAAAGAATTAATTAAATTGAAATAAATTCTTTACCTGTTGATAAGACTATTCAAAAATTGTTTCAAATTAAACGATTATAAAAAATATTTAACTATTTTTTATAAAAACTAAATTGAACTTAAGTTTAGTTTTAAAAATTAAATTACTACAAAAGAAAAATCAATTTCATTTATTTCAAATCACAAAAAAAAAAAATTTGATTTACGATGTAAAACATAGTTTAAGTCAATACAACGTATAATTAAGTAGATTGAACATCGAGAAGTGATTTCATAATTATTACTTATTATATGAACTTGAATTATTTTACTTTAGTTTTAGGTAAACAATTTTTAGATAAACAATTTTGATTAGCTTTTCATTCAAAAGATTTTAATTTTTTCAAATTAAATTACATTGCACACATTTTGATTTATTAGTACAAGAGAATAAGAGCTAATTTAAAATAAAAAAAATATTTTTTATAATGTAATTCTGTTAAATTTATATTAAGAAAATAATTTACTTTAATTTAAATTATAAAAGGGTTTGAATTCTTAAAATTATAGTTCACCAAATTAAAAAAAAAAACAGTTTAGTTTAATTTTTTTTGAACTATTTTATAATTTATTTCAATCTAAATAAATTATTTTTATAGTTCAATTTAATTAATAAGTAGTTTAATTTAATTTAATCCTTTTGAACATGGTTATTGTGGAGGAACAAACACTATCAATTATTGAAGGGAATAAAAAAAAGGGGGATATTTTTAACATGTTTTCGCTATTTCACCTCAAAAGTCACCATGATTTTAAAGTAGCCTAAAGTGATTACAATTTGCTAAATAAAAAATAAAATGTTACTTCAGTTCCTATGTTATCATGGTTCATATAGGCCAATATATGTCTATGAAAACACCGCATAGCTGCAATCTGATCACAAGAGACCTTACCCCGTCAGTATCTTAGAAAATGAGAAGTTCAAAATGTTAATCCTTCAATTACATAAATCATGTAATAATAAATTGTATAACTCAAGAATAACTGTCTTTTTTCTTGGAATATAATTTGATACTCTCTCCTTCACGCTTTTCTCTCAATTTGGGTAGAAATATTTTGTGTCAGACATAATGAAATGGTTCCTCCTTCTTATTATATCATAATTAAACCCAGGTTAAGACTTAGGGCTAACAAAATCTAATAATACCATGGATTAACGGAATGCACCCTCCGCTCACATTACGGGAGAATATATTAACGGATAATTCTTATTTCAACATTATGTATGAAAATTTGTTGAACTAACTATGAGCAAGATGAACCATTGATCTCAATCAATAGACCAACAAATACTTATGGCAAGAAAAAAACAAAATTAGCAAAACCTGGTGTTAATTTATCAAAAAAAAAAATTAAATATTCACCCATTCATAGATTTGTTTGTTTGTTTTTTAATAAAAAAATAGGCCTCTTAAATTTTAATTCATCCTAATCAATCTTTAAATTTTATCATTTGTAAATAGATATCATAATTTTTAATTTATTCGAATAATTTGTAAACTTCACTTCTTTTTATGAATAAACACCGATAATTTTAATTTTATTCTAATTGATATTTATTATTTATCTTTTTTATAAATAGTTTTTAATCAATTTAGGGTTAAACTATTTATTATTCATTATTTTTTATAACTATTTTTAAAATAATAAAATTATGAATTAAATTATAAATTTTATGATGTTTTAATATATAAAAGATATATTTAATTTAAAAGTAATGAATGAGTGATTTAAAATAAATTGTTAAAAATAATTAAGTAATTGATATTTGTTTTCCCTATTTGTAGTTAAATCGGAATGTAAGAGATGGTTATTTAGTATTTAGGATTAGATATTTTGAAGCATTAAGGATAGGGGTTACATGTAACGATCTTAGCATCGGAGGCGCAGCAAAATGGGGAGCTGCAGTGTGGATAGGAAGAAGGTAGAGATGTTAGAAGTTGGACCATGCAAAGATGGTTATGAAAAGGGTCTCTTAATTGGCCGAAGATTCTCCCACCTCATAAAGAGTAGAGTGGCCACAGACCTCATTCTACAAAACCAGCTTCGACCCTTTGCCCACACCCCTCAATCACACTCACTTCTCAAACCACTTTTTCATAACAACAAAACCAAATTCCCAAGGTATTGGGATGAACTGTTGGGGACTGCAGCAGGAAGCGCCGTGCCACTACTTGATGTAATTGCAAAATCATTTAGTATTATACAATAACCAAATGTTGCAACAATATTAATATTTACTGTCTTCTATGTGTGTATCAACAGATTTTGCTTATCAACTTCAGGAAGGAGATTCTTCCGTTTATTCCAAAAGATGGAGCAAAAATTCCCAATGTAGATACCCCAGATGATTGCTCAGATGTTCTAGTTGTCAGTGAATCTATGGCCATTGCGGCGCACAATGAGGATGCAAATGTTGCCCTTGTTGGCCACACGTAAGCTTAATGATTCGTGTCTTGTCCTCCCTTTAGAATTGCTTTATGGCTGTTTTCTGTGTCTGCAGCTACTTAATCAAAGGAATCTTGCCGGATGGTCTCTTCTTCGTAGCTTATACATATGCTGGGGAGCTTCCAAGCTGTGCATTTGGGTTCAATACCCATGGACTGGTAAAATATGCGTATATATCATGTATCTGATAAATTATGAAATTATTAAAATATAAATTTTCATCTTTTTTTTATCAATAATTAAGGTTCTTTATTTTTCTCTCAATTTAAAGGAGGTAATTTAATGAATTTAAGGATTTACCATGTTATTAAGTATATTAAAATGAAAATTCTCATATATTTTGTCTCATGGGTTCTTAGAACAATAAATTTGAGCCTAATTCAACCCTACAAAATTGACTTGTAATTTAGGATGTAGAGAAATAGTGAGTGACCCTTTTTTAATGATCTTGGATTGGCATGACTTGAGTTTTTTTTTTAATACACTTCCTCATACTCATGGTGCATGTATGAATGGTAGGGTACCTATTTAAAGTGGATGTAGATAACTCTGATACCATATTAGAATAGTAGATTTGAACCTATCTCAATCCTATAAAATCGGCTTGTAAGGTGAGGATTGTTTTTCACTTATATATTCTTTAATTATCTTATCTCTAATCATGACTAGATTTTTTTTGGATTTGAATTGGTGAGGGAGAATAAAATGAGAATGAATTGAACAATGGAACACAAATTTTATTTTAATATATTTCATTCTACTTGGTTACATCTCTATTTATCAGTTCATACATAGCCTTGAACAAGTGAAAAACTTGCTTCATGATCCACAGGCATTCACTCTGGATTCTGTACCGCCGGCTGAAGATGAGATTGTGGCTGGTGGCATTGGGCGCAACTTCATTTCTCGTGACATTCTTGAAGCTACAAGCTTGGACGATGCAGTGAATGTTAGATTTTGCATCCTTTTCCTTCCCATCTTAATGAACACTTTCATAAGTTTAGTATTTTCACATTGTGCTCTTATTTCATCAGAGGATCCGATCATCAGAAGTTTCTGTAGGGCATTCTTATAACCTGATTGAAACAAGCACGCGTAGGATTTTTAATGTTGAAACCGCATCTAGGAAGCGGATTTCAGTGTATGAGGTGGGGGAAACACCTTTCTTCCATGCAAACATGTACCTCCACCTACCTATTAATCAGGCAAGTCATACAAAATCCTGTATTGCAGTTGTTTGATCAAGACCGCCACAAACCAAATCACACACAGAGACATGTATGGTTGCTTGGAAATGTCTCAATCCACTTCATCAATCAAATATTTGAGCAGTTGAGCAAGTTGTATAACATGATATCATAAAAAATTCAATCAATGAAACATGTGAATCTGTGACTAAAACATCATCGTTGGATTTAATTCAAAGGTACAAGATGAGAATTCAATTAGAAGGCAGAAAAGGGCTGCTGTCTTGACCAAAAAATCAAAAGGGGATTTCCTGTCACTTCTAGGAGATATGGATGACAAAAAATACCCTATCTACATGACAGGTAAATTGAAGACATCTCACATCTGAATCCCTGCTTGACTCTTGTCCATGTACTCTCTTGATTATCACTGTTTCCTTCTCCTATCCTCAGGTCCATTGCTTTACACCCTCTGTACCGTTGTTATCGATCTGGATCAACAAACACTATCAATTATTGAAGGTAATCCAAAAAAAGGAGATTTTTCACATGTTTTCTCTATTTCCCCTCAAAAGTCACCATGATTCTATAGTAGGGTAAAGTGATTAGAATTGCAAAATAACCTGTTACTTCAGTTCCTGTCTTATGCTGGTCCATAGAGGCCCCAAATATGGCCATCAAAACACCTCTTAGCTGTAATCTGATCGATCACAAGAGACCTTACCCGTTCAGTATCAGCGCTTTGAAAATAACTAGTTTTAAATGGTATTCTCTCAATTAAATGAATCATTACCTTTCAGTGAATCTCATATTTTCTACGAACATATATCTAGTTCAGCTCCAAATGCCTTTAATTGAGTGACTATGTCAGTCACCGTAAATGATAGAAGCAAGGAGTATTGTTTCTGCATGGCTGAAATTAAAACAGCTATTTTTGTCTTTCATATATAATCATTGTCACTGTAAGCCTCCCTCCCAAAATCGTTGTAATCGATTTGGTCGATTTAAGACTACGTTTTTGTGTCTGTTTCATTTATAGATATTGATCAACATTTTATCAGAAGGCGACGTGGTAACATTTGTTAAGCAAACTAAAGTCAATAAATAAAGAATAATAATGCATGTACATCTCATGCTTGAGAGAAAAGAATGTAGGCAATACACTGTAACAAAAAGAGAGAAATAAAGAATGTGAAATGAGAGTTATCAAACATAACTGAGAAATTATGAAACAGAAGTGAAAGAAAGATAGTGCGGAGATTGCATGATGGCAAGTTTGATAGGACTAGATTGAAGTTCGGCCCAACGAAGAGTGCAGACGTAGGTGGTGAAGCCCAAGCCTTTAGATTAGAAGCGACCAGCTTTTGGACGTCTTTGTGTAGTTGTAATACCATATGATCCAAAATGTTTCAAATGAAATTGTTTGATATAAGATAAGATGGCAGGGAAGTATAAAATCACTAAAATTGTTATCGAGGGTAGTATATAAAGAGTTTTGAATTGGAACTTATAATTCTGACTCATGAAAAAAATGTGAAAGAAATAATTCTCGGAAAAGTATAAACATGCTAATCAGGAGGGAAATTGGAAAAGAAATTCACTTTTCCGAGGTTCCATCTCACTTCTCTCGACCACAATTAATTAAAATGAAAATTTGATTCATTAACATATAATTTATTTTGTTTTTATTTATTTCTCTTAAATTAAATACTTTTAAAATTTATCTATTTCTTATTTATTTATTCAATGTCAGTTGTTGAAGTTGAAGAGAAGAAGGAAGCTCTAATAATGAGCACGCTGATTCCCTAGAGTAGTTCACAACGAAACAGAGTGGAGCACAGTTATGACTCTTTTAGAGATGAAAATGTTCCGAGTCTTAAATCAGTTAAATGAATGGTTGATTTAAGAAATAATAATCCATCTATTTAGTCTTAAATATTACTCTTTCTTCGAATTAATAATATAATTATATAAAAAGTATTAAATATCATGTTCTATAGTTTTTTTTAAGATGTTGTATAGTTCTAAAGTACTTATTTATGAACTTATATACGAGAAATAATTGGGTATATATTTTTTTTGTCGAAGTAAAAGAAATGTTTGTTTTTAAGATATATTAATTGAGTTGTAAAATAATATGTATTATTTGTTAATTTAGAGTTAAATTTAATTCTATGACATTATTAATGAAAGTTAGCTTATCTTAACTACTTTTAGGTTGTAATTTTTTTTATATTAATTTTGATAAATTAGTTATTTATTCCTTATATAAAAGACTAAAGATAATGTTAAAAAATCTTGCAATTTAGTCATTCAAAATATATTATAGTATAGACTAAATTGATGATTCCATTATTTTAAGGATTTTCCAGGAGCGATGATGATACAATCTAATGCATTATTTGGTCTCAATTTTTTTTAAAAAAATTTCAAATAAGTTCTTAAATTAAAAAAGATGTAATTAGGTCATTCATCTTTTTATAATTTTGTAATTTAGTTCTTATAGTTAGAAACTCAATTATAATCCATGAAATTTTACCAATATTTACATACCTAAACAATTATATTATATTTTATTTTTGTGTCATCATTCATATGTATCAAGAATGTTTTGTAAAATTTTATGGATTCCAAATAAAATTCTAACACTAGGGATTAAATTACAAAAATATATATATAAAAAAATCAAATTACATTTTTTTAAAATTTAGAAACTTAATTAAAAAAAATTAAAAATCAAATAATATATTAAACCTTTAATAAATATATATTGTCATTGTCATTTAGAATATTTTACACGATCAATTCATTACGATAAAAAAAACACTATCAACTTATTAAAAATTAGCTTTGGTGTGATGGTGGAAACAAAAATATTAATGGTTAAGGTGTGCTAATGATCGATGACTAGTAGTTTTAAAAAAAATGTTTACTTTATAATTTATTTTAATTTTATTTATTTATTTATTATTTTCAATCAATGTATAAGGTATCAGTTGTTATTGTATAAAATCCAATTTTAAAAAAAAGTTGGACAAAAATTGACATATAGTGCCTTTTTTTAAAAAAAAATCACAATGACAACAATATTTATAATAATAACTCCAAAATATCTTTATTTTCTTTTTTAATTTCAACTTCATTTTGAATAAAATGCTTAAAATTTTTTAAATTATATTATTAGTATAAAATATCCTTCAAATGATACTTAACTTTTTTGAATCACTTTTTTCTTTTTTACATGATTCAAAGTTAAAACCTTATTTGAAGTTTTTTATTTATTATTATTATTATTATTATTATTATTATTATTATTTTACATTATTCAAAGTTAAAACTTTATTCAAAGAATTCAAACTCACTTGTTAGTATAAAGTTTTCAATTTTTTTAATATAAATTACATGTATATGTCTTTTACTTAAAACAATAGTGTATGAGCCAATTAGGATCACTATATCTAAGTGTTTATCAAGTATTTATCCGTGTATATAGTTAGAGTTCTACGTACGTCTACATCAATAGACTAAAACATTTTCGCTTTTTAATTCAACCATTCTTTTATTCATTCCTACATATCACTCGATCTATTGGCCACCAGTGTCATGTATCACCTATTTAGGTCAACAACTTCATTGAGGCGTTTCAATTTATTGAAAGCAGAAAATGCTCCTTGAAGCAAACAGTTTTAGCTTATATAAGTCTTAAATGTTGGAAAGTTGCTCGTGAGTTAGACTTTCATAGTAGTTAAGATTGGACTTGATGAAAATAGTATAAGAAAATAGACCCATATCTATAAGTTTTGGAATTTTGGGTAAATTGTAGTGTCACATGCATGCATGTTTATGGTTCCTTACTTGGCTCATTAATGTAGACCCTTTATTTTTACCATCTCCCCTTGACCCAGCACTAATTAACCATATGTCAATAGAACGAATGATTTAAAGTGATTAATTTTTTACAAAAAAATCTCTTAACCTTAATTTGGATAAAATTTTCAAGAAAAAAACCTTTATTCAAAGCATTGTTTAGGAATCCTCTATACTGGACACTAAAATCAAACTTATAATAATTTCATACCTTAAATAAATTTTAGTATTTGGAAAGATATTAATTTTTTTATTCCAATTAAGAGATATCTTTGGTCCACTCAAAAAAACTATATTCTCTATTATTTCTTATACTACTATCGATCGTTTTATAAGAAACAAATGATAATATGAAATAAATTATGACTTGTTTCATATAAAAAAATATTGAAATGATTATAAATTGAAATATACAATTTAGAGATTATAAGACTCTTGCAATTGACTAAAATAATTATCTCTGGTCATTTCAAACTACTTTTCTTTTATCTTAATGTGCATGTGTGGACTGTGGAGATTAAATAACACCAATTTAACTATAAAAGAGTTGCACTAAACCCAAACCGTTAATAAAAAAAGATCGTAATATTTAAAATATTTTCATATTTTATAGTAACTTTAACATATTTTATAATAACCAATTTAATCATTTAACTTTATTTAATTGATTTAACCTGACTTCTTCTTTATTTCATTGTTTGATTGATAAAAAAATATAAATTTATGTGAATTTAAAAAAAATAAAAAGTTTTTTAATTGAAGATTTATACAATAATATTAGTGCCTCTTCTACTTGATTTTATTATTTTGTGCATTCACTTTTTCTTTTCATATATAT